ATTTTTTTTAAAGAAGCATTAAACACTGATGGTAAACAAAATTAGGCCAATTTTTTTTTCTTAAAGACTCATTAAACACTGATGGTAAACAAAATTAGGCCCCCTTTTTTTTTAAAGAACCATTAAACACTGATGTAAAAATTTGGAAGTCAAGACTTTAAATTTTATTTATTTTTTATTTTCTGCACTCTTAGTGAGATTTTCTCTGATGGAGCTACTGGATGGATAAAAAAATTTTGTCTAGGACTATAGATAGTACTTGTTACATTGTTATGTAATGTAGTGTGGTAATCTTAACATTTACCCTGTACAGTTTATCAGTGTTCATCTAAAGTACCAGAGTAAGCAGACATATTGATAGATTTTTTTATTATTTTTTGTATCCAAAAGAGCAGTTTTATTCTGTTAGATTGTGTAATCTTTGAAAGCAGTGTGCAAAAATCAAACTTATTCAGTTAGCTGACACCTGCTGTAAGCCTATAACCAAAACTAGTTTTTATTTTTAATGTTTTATTTGTGAGAATTTTGTTAAAATAATAAAGTTTAGTATGTTTATATAGAAAGTCATATGAAATTATCAATTTGATGATAACATAAAAAAAAAGTAAATCAATGTTAAAATCTGTTTATAACGTCTTTGTAATAAAGAAATAAATTAATACGCATGTTGTATATAATATATAGATAATGGATAAATATTTAGCATAAAATTTTAAATAATTACATACGATCTTGACTACCACATAAATAATTTTGTACTGGCTAATAGTCACCAATTTTTGACAATCCAATTGTTAAAGAAACTCCAGGGCTGTCCCTGAATCCCTAACATTATATCTAACCTAAAAAAAGACAGCAAAATTCTTCCATTTAAAACAACTTTCAACACTCTTCAAACTGGAAACTCGTTACAGGCTAGTTAGGAAATAAGGTATTTCCACATTATCTTTTAGTAATATAATTTCTACTTACCACTGTTCTTCTGAAACAGAACAGACTTCATTACCATGCTCTTTTTTTTCTTCTTCTCCTTTTATGTTTCACTTTTGCAGCAATGCTATGTTTTTTTTCTGTACATATATATTATTTTTTTTACAGACTCTATAATCACCACAAGACAGAATACTTTGAGCTGTGGTATAGGTTTTCATTATTACTTACTTCATTTGTTTATGTAAATAGATAATATGTGAACAAAAGTATACATAGATACATACATACTAGTATGATATAATAATTTAATTTCATAGTTTTCACATCTTGCTATAGATTGTGTTTTTTTTTTTTCCTTCTTGTTAAAGGTACTTTGTGTTGGCTCGCAGCAATCCAGATCCCAAGTGTCCAGCTAGTAAAGCATTCACAGGTTTCATTGTAGATGCTAATTCTCCTGGTGTATCTTTTGGACGAAAGGTATGCCAAAGTCAATTAGTAAACACCACAATCAACAATATAAACTAATAAAGTGGTAAAAAAATACAAATAAATTTAACTGTCAACTTCTTTCAGAATATTGAGACTGTGCTAGTGTCTTAAAATTATACAGTCTTAAATATTTTAACTTTTAACTACGAGCATGTACTAATGAAATGTTGTGTTGGTAAAATAATTATTTAAGGTATGCTATTTTAATAAACTAAAAATGATTGCCAATGTAAAGATGTTTTTAAAATGTTATATTTTAGCAAATAAATTAATAGATACATGAGAAAAAGTCAAACTTGTAAGTTTCATTGGTAAATTATTACAATATAGATAATGTAAATTGTACTGTATCGAGGATATAAGTTTATTTTGAAGACGTACTTTCTTTTCGATTGTCACTATTAAGAGATGTTTGTGAATAACTTTGTTTTTAGTTTAACTTTAAATATTGGAGTATAAGATGCATTTAGTAACTATATACAAATTAGCTGCCAATCAAAATGCTCATTTATGAATTGTTTTAGCTTATACTTCCTTTAATTCTACAAGTAACATGCACAGTGCATTATTGTGAATAAAAAAATTTCTGATGATTGCAGTGTCTGTATTTACTAAATTCTGTGACAGCAATAGTTAACCAACATATAATCCACTTTTATCAATAGTAAACCAGCACATAATCCACTTTTATCAATAGTAAACCAGCACATAATCCACTTTTATCAATAGTAAACCAGCATGTAATCCACTTTTATCAATAGTAAACCAGCACGTAATCCACTTTTATCAATAGTAAACCAGCACATAATCCACTTTTATCAATAGTAAAACAGCACATAATCCACTTTTATCAATAGTAAAACAGCACATAATCCACTTTTATCAATAGTAAAACAGCACATAATCCACTTTTATCAATAGTAAAACAGCACATAATCCACTTTTATCAATAGTAAACCAGCACATAATCCACTTTTATCAACAGT